AAGCACTGGGGGAGGCGGGTTTTTTTTCATTTTTCTCTCATCCCTCATCAAAACTAAAGCTCCCTGATCTTCTAAGAGCTCAGGATAAAGTTCCAAATCTTCAGCCATACATAGGAGTAACATTTTTCTTTGAAACTAAGCAATTAAAAGCACATCAAGATTAGCCATATCCTCACGGAAAATGGGCCGGGGCGTCACGGGGAGATAAGCTCGACATGCCAGGCTGCCAAGCGCTGGCTGATCTAGAGAGCAGAACCTGCACAAGGAAAAGGCACCGGTACCTGGGCTGCCTTTTAACAGGGGACTTTTATCTTTATCTTTCCTTCCTGAGGAAAGATCAGGAGATCACCTGATCTCCTGAGGTGTTGTGCTGGCACATAACCAAGGTGACTGCTCCAGAATGGTCCTTGAGGCACCGTGAGCTGCTGGGGACAAAGCAGGTTGGCAACAGTGGCAGGCTGGGGGCAGATGGGCAGCGAGCCATGGGATGGGGTGAGGATGCACCCTGGGGTGCTGGTCTGTAAATCAAGCTAATATCTTTGATTTCCCGTTGTTATTTCAATTTTCAGTCTTTAATCCAAAGTCTATTCTGAAGATATACACTAGATGGAGGATTAGCAGCTGAGCTGAGGAAATTAAGAAGCAACTCTAAATAGGAGAAGCTGTAAATGTGTAGGAGCCATTCCTTGATCCCCCTGCTTCCCTCAGGTGCTCTCTGCATTGCACGCCCTTTACAAAGAGCTAGTGCACAAGCTCAGAGCTGCAAACGTTCATATTAGCCCTGCGGAGGAAGTCCAGACTAAAATAGGGCTACAGAAGTGAGCTGTAACACTGCAAACCCAGCCCTCCTGTATTAATTATTTCAGTGAATTAAATACATTTGGCCTTTGGCTCTCCCACCAGGGAAAAGGGAAAGCATCTTCTCCTTGTGCTGCCAGAGCCTGTGGTTTCCCAGATGCGGAGTCTGCTCTGGTCTAAGCTCAGAACTGTGTACAGACATTTAAAACCCTGCGACCTGCTGTGATACAGCAGCTGGGACTTTTCTACAGAGGGAGGACAACCCCATGACGCTTTTCTGGATGATGCTCCTGAGCCCTGGAGTGATGGCTGAGTTGCATGCACAGGACATGGGCCCAGGGGCACAGGGTGCTGGGGCTCCACAGCCCCAGGAGGTGGAGGGGGGTGAATACATCAATGATAAAAGCCTTCAGAGTTTGCAGCACCGGTCTATTGACTGGGAATAGGTCACCCTGAGGCAAAGCTTTCCCAGAATAGGTGGATCTGGCCCATAAGAGGAGGGAGAAAAATGGTTAACAGAGAAAGGTGTAAGTACAGATCAGATAACGCATCCCAACACCTACCATATGCTGGGTAACAGACCTTCAGGCAGCAAACCGTGCTGAGCACCGTCAGGCTGGTGAGGCTGCACAGCCCAAACAAGACCCCGCAGAAGGCATAGAGGGTGCACACCGCCTGGTTGAATAGCCACCTGCAAGGAAAGCCTGCGGGTAAACCCA